CCCCACCACCCCGCGGCCAGCCAATGGCGTCCCGCGGGGCGGTCGCGAGAGGCGCCACGCCCACCGGCGGGGGGAGGGGGGCGCCGGCGCCTCGGGGCCGTGGACCTGACGTGCACCAGCAGCAAGCCCGGCCCGACACCGGCCGGCAGCGCGACGTCCATGAGCAGCCGCTGGCCAGCGCGACCCGGCTCTTCCCAGCTCCGGGGGGGGCCCCGCCGCGCGTCCCCCTCTCCATACGGGCGCCGCGGGACCGGCAACAGGAAGAACACGCCGTGCACCGTCAGAGCTCGTACCCAAAGTCGCAGTGCTGCTGTCAGAAAGAGTGTTCAACTAAACAGAGCAAAAAAAGCACTCGGCTAACGGACCTTAATGTTATCTATTTATGTCATAGCATTTAACGTTATATGGGTAATCTGACGTTTCGTCAGCAAAAAAATAAATGAACTATAAAGACGTCACGTCAAGTGGGCCAAGTTAAATGAATTCAATGATACGTAGGTTGGTAGGTTTTTAAGCGCGAGATGAAGGGGAGAGGAAGAAGACAAAGCAAAGGCCACACACTACAACTCTTATTTTAAGCATGTTGCGCATAAGACGGCAGCAGCCATAGATACCGGGTGATTCAAAAAAGATGCAGGTGCAGGAGGCGGGTTTGCGTACCCGCTCTGCCTGTAAGGCGCCATAGCCACTTGGGTAGGCAAACCCGCCCGACCCTGCGTCTTCTCTGAATCAGGAGGTACGCACAACTTTCATTTGCTTTGCTTTCTTTGCTTAAGTATGCCCAATAATTATGTCCACTATCCACAAATTTGTGCATAGACGTGTACAATTTGTACATAGTTATGCACGACGTTTCGAGCACAACTATGTACTATACATTGATGCACAACATTGATTGCGGGCAGGGTTCCCTACTCGCTCGGGGTCGTTTCACGGGCAGAGACGAGACGATAGGTAAACCCGCCCGCAGGTGTGAAATCAACGTACGGGTACGGTTTGTGGAAAAGAGGGAAGCCGCGTACAGCGAGTGTGTGTGTGCGCGGTGGTATTAGTCTTTTCTTTACAAATGACAAAAAATATGCGGCACAGCTGGCCACGACTGTACCGTTCCGGAGGCGGCTGGAGCAACGACGTATAGCGCCGGCACCCCACAGAGGTCAAGGTGCGAATTCTTTCTCCGGGTTCCTATACCACCACCCCACCTCCCGTCGGCCCCTCTTTCCCATTCGCCTCCCATCTCTCAAAAAGGCTAGACAGAATGCGGAGAAGGAGAAAAACGAAATTGGAAGGAAAAGGGGCAAGTAATCGGGGCAATGAAAGAATAAGAATTGATTCACAAAGGGCCGTGGTGTAGGAGGAATACCACCCCCGGCCGTGAGCTTCTTCTTCTTCTTCTTCTTCTTCTTCTTCTTCTTCTTCTTCTTCTTCTTCTTCTTCTTCTTTTTCTTCTTCTTCTTCTTCTTCTTCTTCTTCTTCTATTTGCCCCCTGACTCTCTCCGTCTCTCTTCCTCTCATCGGGGAGCCCAAGGATGATCCGCGCAGGGGTCGCTCCTCTTTCGCTGTCTGTCTCACTCTTCCCCGATACGACGAAACTTGTTCCTCCCCTTTTTCTTGCGGGCCGCCGTATACCCAGGGCATGGGTGCGGCAGACTCTCCGTCTGTCTGTCTCTCTCTCACCCGCACACACACACACACACGCGCACGCACGCGCGCGTTTTTGTCGCACACCCCTCTCCTCCCCCTCCCTCCTCAGAGGGTGGTCGTCGGCGCCTCCCCCGCCGCTTCCCCCTCGCCACCCTAGGGGGTTGGACCCCTCTCCCTCCCCGCCCCGCTGTCGGCCGGGCCGCGCCGTCCCGTCAGTAGGAGGCGAGCGCGCGCCGCGACCAGTCAGAGGAGCGCCACCGCGCCCGCCGCGCCCTCGCCCACCCCGTCGCGCTCGACCCTCGCCGCCCTCGCCGGGCGTGACCGAGCCGGCCACCAGGACCGCGACGAGGGACATGCGACCGACCCGACGGCGACGGTGGTGTTGACGGGGCGGCCAGTGTGCGAGTGAAGTGCATAACGCAGTGCATCAGTGTGCGTCAGGCAGTGCGGCAGAGAGAAGAGAGAGAGAACGAGAGTGATTGAGTGAGAGAGAGCGATGGCGCCGACGAGACAGTGGTGCGGTGCCGGGCCCCTCAGGATGTGCCAGTGAAAGAGTCGACGGACAAGGGTTGCCGACGACGGCGGCCTCCGGGGGGGTCACGTCCTTGGCACGCCCCCGACGAGCCCCCTGGGAGCCGGCGCCCTCCTCCCCGCCGCCCCCCGCGGCCTCGGCCTCGCGTTGGGTCCCGCCGCTCGCCTCGGCCGGAAGCGGCGCGCCGCCGACCAGGTCGCCGACATGTACATGAAGAAGGAGGTGGTGGAGGAGTGCGGCTCCCCCGTGGACCGCAAGCAGCTCCTGGACTTCCCGCCGACCTGCGGCGCCTCCAACGACTCCAACAACAACAACGGCGGCAGCTACAACAACATGGGGTCGGACTCGCACCCGCTGAGCGGGCGGAACGGTAAGGAAAGGAGTCGTTATGCGCTGCTATGAGGCCCGTGTGTCCCCCTTCAGTACACTCCGAAACGCAAGCGTGAGTGTCGTACCCTTGTAGGTGTGTGGCGTACACTACATGGCGTGGCGTGGCGTGGCGTATTCGTACACTGACGTGTGACTTCCCCTTTGAAAGTTCACACATTTGTGACTGTACGTGTACGAATGGCGTTCACACACCTACAAATGTGTGACATTCGCATGCTTGTCTTGCCGGTCCGTGCCTGCCCGGTCGCCCTGTCGGCTGAGCCGAACCGAGCAGCCCCGCGCGTTCAACTCCCTCGTCCGCGCCGCAGCGCCCGGCGCCTGAACACATCATCGAGTGCGGGACATTTTGTAATGCTTATATACTTTGCCTGTTATTTGTGAGATCACGTAGCCGTCATGCCGCATTCAATGTGTCAAAACTGTTAAATATTGACCGACAAGCATTTTAGACGCACACTCATGCTTTGCTCAACTCCACAACTCCACCTTGCACAGTTGTGGAGACAGACAATCCCATTTAAAAGGACACAATGTCAGTACAGTAATAATCGCAGCAGGTGCTCTGTCAAATCCTTACTAACAAATTATTTTGTAAGCTGCGAAGTAATTTGGCGGCTTTGCAGTGCAAAGCTTCCAAATCCTTTTAACAGGAAATCATTTGCCCTGTAATTTACAGAGCATTTGCTTTCCGCTGTTTTAACTTTGTGGTTAGGATGTGGTTAGGATTCGCCAAGTTTCACCGGTCAGCTGACCAGAGGTGCGGTTCTAATAAAAGACCACTGAGGTCACGAAACAGTTCAGATAAAGGGACGCCGCCGTCGAGGCTGCTCGTCGTTTCGAGTGTTATCGGTGTCATAAAGTACGCGCTGACTTAGACGTGAAATGAGCGTTTAGTTATTTTGCAGTCAAAAGAGAAGAAAATCTTTTCTTTTTTTCAGTCGAGTTTTTGGGAAGTTGAAGTACCCCTCAGGAAACTTGCTTCGTTTCGTACTTTTGACCTCACTCAACAGTCTTGGGCATACAAAAACAAGAGGGCTCTGATGTAACAACATGTCACGAGCCGGGAGACGTCACGCGTCCTAAAATGCATGAGTGCGTCTACTTTGTACTTCGTGCCTTATTCATGGTCTTGCTAAACTTCTCGAGCGGGGGAGCTCTGACGCGGCCAGACGCCCGGCGGCCCGGCGGCCCGCGGTGTAGTTGTCGAAACTAAAGATTCTGCGTACAAGATGATGCAAACTTCCCTTGGCGGGATGCGGGGCGGAAGGGGGCGAGGGCGCTGGGGTGCGGTGTGGCGGGGTGGGGCGGCGTGAGGCAGGGTCAGGCGGGGATGGGGGTTAGCAGAGTGGGGGGAGGCGTCGGGTGGGATAAGATACATTATCAGCAACATGCCCCGAAAAGTTTACGCGAGTGTGTTCCCTGCCGTATTCCCCTCCCTCGCACGGTCTGCTTGCAATTCAAGGATCACCGCGACTTTCGAGAAGGTCTTACGCCCCCCCCCCCCAAACTCCCTCAAGCTCGCGGTTATGGAAAGATACACGGGAATATCATGCGGGAAATGATGGAGTAGGGGTAAAAAGGGGAAGAGACCGACAAAGCGATATCTTTAGGTTGACTGTCACCTTCCGGTGGTGCCCACTGAAAACTACATGTTGATCACTAGAAGATGACGCGGCGCGTATTTGCGTATTTCAGCTTTTCAGGAATGTTTTCTAAGCGAACTTTCGGATTTAATTTTCAAAAGCATCATCGGTTTTCACGTAAAATTTCCGATCAAACAAGCCTACATGTGATGGGGTTGGGAGTACAAATAACAACACTGAAAAGGACGTTAACTTGCATGTCGTTACAGAGCCTTTGTTCAGAACCTATCACATGTGGGCTCGTTTGAATGGAAATTTTACGAGGAACTCGATGTTGCTTTCGAAAATTAAATCTGGAAGCTCACTAAGACAATATTCCAGAAAACTGTGCGTCATTATCTAGTGATATGTGCCAAACGTAGTTTTCAGTGGGTTGCACGATTACTGTGAATGCATGTTTGTTTTGTTTTTCGTAAATTCAATATGGAGTGAATTGAGCTGACATATGTCACGTAAAGGTCCGCGAAAACACGCGAAGAACAATACATAATTTAAACACATCTTACTAAATGTACCCGATTTTTTTGTGATAAATAACTTTAAAATTTATCCAAAAAAAAACTGTCTGCCAATTCGACTCTATCTATTTTGCATGTATGTGCGGGACGAAAATTTTACATGTGGGATTGTGGTGTGTGGTAGGTTCGGATAGGTCGGTGGAGGGGTGGTTACTGTCCATAGTTCCCAGGTTGCAGCCTGACATGCATTGCTACAGCGTGATGATTCACTGAGTTAGTGGTGCTCTCCGTGAAAGCAGAGGGTTTGGTCAGGTCAGCCCCTTTCTAAAAATAATAACAAAACTACCAACACTTCCAGAGGCGGGCTTCGGGGATGGCGCAGGGCAGGCAGGCAGACAGGCGGGCGAACGGAGGGGCCGGACTGGACCGACTGGACCAAAAGTTTCCCGGCCTGCATCGCCGGCTAGCTCCGGGACAGGCACATATACGCACTGCATACTGATCCTCAACTTTTCTTATTATGAAAGTTGTACTAGGCTTTGGCCTCGGCGGGCGAAGGGCCGAGGGGCGGGCCGAGGCAAGGGCTTAGGGGGGGGGGGGGGGGGGGGTGGGGGGGGGGGGGGGGGGAAAAACTGGGGGGAAAAGTACATCCTACTATTAAAAATTAAAAAAATTAAAAATACAAAACTCATGTTTTGTGCATAGTAAGTTCTTACTATACTTTTTACGTATTAGGACACACTTCACTATGAAAATAGAGCCAATACAGGGGCCAGCATGTTTGCCAAAGGAAGCGGACGTTTTAAATCAGAAAATTTCTTTACAATTTAAAAAGTAGATTAAAAAGGTTGTCCGCGAATCTTGAGGTGTGGCTGGGATGGGGCTTTCTTCAACCCCGATTCATTTCCGACAGGGTAGCGAAGGAGACGCCACACGTCGGCTTTTGTGGGACCGAGTGGAGCGGGGTGGGCGGTATGGAGCGGGGTGGGGTGGGGCGGTGTGGAGCGGCGTGGGGTGGGGCGGGGTGGAGCATGGCAGCTCCGGCCTCCATGCGCCCCTTTATCATTCATCCCCGAGCGACGTTCTGTTCTGCCCCGTTTCACCGCTGAGCCGCTGCTGCCGCCGCGGCGCCTGGGAGGTGGCGAGCCACGCCAGAGGCACAGAGCGCGCACGACGGGTTTCTTTTCTACGCGCGTCTTCTCTTTCCACAGAGCTGTCATACAGCAGCGTTTCCCTCCCTGCCTGCACCTTCCGCGCAGATACAGGGCACCTTATAATTCACGTCACTGTTTTTACATGTTAATTTCATGCTCAAGCTCCCAACTACCTGTCTAACATTGCAAAAAAATTAAAAAAAAAAAAAAATGTTGCCAAGGGTGAAAAATTAGAAGTTGAGGCGGTGTGTATAGGTTTTACGCGATATCCTGCCTTAAAAGTTAAGGGTTGAAGTTGAAACGTGCCCAAATAACACCAAAAAACGGAACTTGTTTTCTATTAAGTTTCAACGCATATACGAAGACAAAAGGGAAAAGAGAAAAATGGAGTAGAATTTTCGTAAAAATAAATCCTATGTTTTTCATTTATTTCCCTTCCTTGCAAGCGCCCGAAAAGTCGAGGTCGGCCCAGCCCGGGTAAGAGGTAGCGGAATTCCGCTACACGGGTCGAATTAGACGAACAGGCAGCGGGGTGGGTGGGGGAAGGTGTGAAAGGTTGAGTGATGAATGGACCAGTACATCCGCGCACGTACACTGTGAGGCCAAGCGGGCGAAGTGTGAGACAGAAAGGTGGAAAGGGTGGGAAATAATCTCGCAGACTCTGTCTCACACCTGGTGATATGGTGTTCGCGGGTGGTTGTGAATCGCACTACCCTCCCCCCTCTCTCTCTTTTAACACCGGCAGACCGACGAAACCTTCGAAGGCGGGTAGGGTGTTGCGGGGCGGGGCGGGCCGTGCCACCTGACGGAGGATGTTCCCCCGTCCCCGCCGCCTGCAGAGCCCGGCGTAGGCAGCCCGCCCAGCCCGGGTGGCGACGGGTTGCCTACCTGGGTCCCTCAGGCGCTCGTCACCTTCTCCCCGTTTGACGCCCCCACTCTCTCTCTCGCTCTCTCTTTATCTCTCCGCGCACGCTGTCCTTATCGCACTGTTTATCTGCTATTCCCGACAGGTCTCCCGTCCCGAGCGTGTGGCCGCCGCCGGGCGCCCGGTCGGGGCGGAGGAGCAAAGGGTGAGGGCATGTCGGCCTCCTCTGGCGAGGTGGGGGGCCGGGGGAGACCGACAAAGCGATATCTTTAGGTTGACTGTCACCTTCCGGTGGTGCCCACTGAAAACTACATGTTGATCACTAGAAGATGACGCGGCGCGT